CGGGCCCGCGCCCCGCACAGGTGAGGCCGCTGTCGCTCCTTCCCCTCCGCCGGCCGCTCTCCTCTCCGGCCCCGCTTCTCTCTCGGTCCCTCTCGCTTCTCCATCCCGCCGCCCTTGCCATCCCCTCCCTGGTCCTTTACGCGCCCTGCCCTCCACCTGAACCCTGCCCCCCCAACTCAGAACTGCGGGGAAGGGCGGGGGGAGGGTGGCGCAGGGAGTGTCCTCCGCCAGGCAGAAGCGGTGCGGGGGCCTGTGCCCTTGGCCTCTGACCCGAGGGGTCGTAGGGTTCCGTGCGCTCCTGGCCGCGCCCCATTGTCTGCGTGGAACTGCAGGCCTGGCGGGGACGAGCCGCTCCGGACCGAAGGCGGACCGAAGGCGGTGGGTTCCGGAGGCAGGGGGCCCAGCCCATCCGTCGCCCACCAGGAGGGTCCTCAACTGCATCCCAGGCTGCCCAGAGCCAGCGACTGCTCACGGCTAAGGAGGGAGGACCAGACTGCTAGAGTCTGGGGACGTCCAGACGGAGGGCCGGCCGACTTGTGGGAGAAAAGGCCGAGTTGGGTTGGAAGGTGGGAGGCCCTGGGGGAGGTGGCCTGGCCAGCAGTGTCCCCCACTCCCCACCCCCCGCGGCGTGTGCAAACCACTGGCGTCCCTGGAGAGGCTGGGTCAGCAAATGTTGGTGGAAGTTGATGAGGTCCACCTGGGGCTGGAAATATCAGCCCCTGGATGCCCCCTGCCTGGAGAGAGGGCTCGGATAGGGCCAAGGGCACCTTGCTGTGGGCGAGAAATCATTTGAGGATGGGACCAGTGCTGCGTCCCAGGGCCTGGCCAAGAAGTAACATAGGCTGCCACCGCTGCTCTGGATGGGAGGCAGGCAGTGCAGGCCAGGACTCTCCAGACCCACAGTCTTGTGCTGGCTCTGTTCTGGCTTGCTTGGTGACCTTGAATGAGTCACAAAAAACCTTTGACCTTTGGTTTCTCTTCCTCTCTAACCTTGGCCCAGCTCTGCTGTTCCCAGGCCCTGAGGCCACGTCAGGGCCCAGTGCTAAGAGCCTAGCCTGGGGGTACCCAGTGACACTCCATCAGCCACACCCACTCCTGGTATCAGGCATGCCCCAGTGGACCCAAAGGACCCCCTTCTCCCAGACCTTCTGGCTGCCCCAGCAGTGTAGCCCTCTAGTAATGAGTACCAGCTAGTGGCTGAGACCCCAGGGCCCTGAAGTTGCTGGGGGAGGGTAGGGCAGCCTGGCAAGGCGGCTATCCTCTTCTTGCTCTGCACCTCTAATCCTGGCTGATATTCTGCTTTGCAGACAAGGAAGCCAAGGTGCAGAAAATGTCCTTTTCACCACTGAGCATGGTATAGCAGGAATCACTGGGCAGGCGTCTGCAGCCTGGAAAACAGCTCCTGCACGCTGCCCCTCCCCGCACCCCCACTCCCTTGGGCAGGACCTGGCCTGGGCTCTAGGGGAAGTAGGACGGCCTTCAACAGATGCTTCAAACAGAGGTGTCCTTAGCCTTGGTCCAGGTGAGGAAGGGGACGTCACAGGGCCGTTTAAAATGAGACTGTGAGCATTTGGAGCACACAGAAAAGCACTCAAGAGAGAACGTTGAGTGAGAACAGCAAGATTTAAAACCAAATGTGTAGTATGATCTCACCTGGGATAAAATGCTGGTCAGTATGAGAGCGGGAGGCAGAAAACCACAACCAGGTGGTGTGGTGCAACTATGGAGGAGTTTTCTTCCACTGTCCTAAGTCCAGTAAGTACTTTCTGATCCATGCACATATCAGCTGGAGGTGTCAGCCCATAGAGGTTTAGCCTCCTCATGGTGAAGCCTGGCCTGGGGGTGGGGGTGGGGGGCACCATGAGCCCAGAGAAGGGCCACAAGGCAGGATGGGAGCTCCATGGAAGGACCTGGCACTCACCCAAGGGGTGGCTGCCACCATGGAGAGGACTTGGCCAGAGGCTGCTGCTGCCCTCCCTCAGCTGTCCTGTGCTCTCACTGGGCTTCATGGTCACCATCACTGCTCACCACTACCCTTCTGGCCAGATGCTCCAACTCAGCCTCAGTGGGACACTTCCATCTGCATTCTCCAGAAACCTGGCTATATGTGGTGGCCCCTGGCTTCCCCTTCTCCCTGTGCCAAGGAGAGGAGCAGGGTCAGAGGCAGAGCCCAGGTGAGACCCTGGCTGGTTGGCCTCAAGTGTAGGCAGCAAGGATAGGTGAGAGAAGGGCCAAAGAGGCAAGACCTCCACTTTACAGCAGGCATGAGACCTGGAATGTTCCAAAACTGCACTGTGTGTGGGCCCCTGCCCGTCTCACATGGTCCTTCTAATGGGAGGTCGCGGAAGGGGTGGTGCCACCCAGCAGATTCCAGTTGCCAGTCTCTCCTGCCAAGCCCAGCTGAAGCATGTCGGTTACGTGCAAGAGAAACAGCAAGCCGGTCTTCGAAAAGAGAAGTGCTAGTTGCATCTTTGCTAGCATCCCTGAGAAAAGCTGCTGGGCCATTCGTTTACAACACAGAGCGACGCTCCACACAAACCCCTTTTCCACAAAGCTGCTGTTAGCCACTCTGCTGTCAAAACTCCTGGAAATTCTCCCTCAGACACCATTCACAAGAGCTCTTCTTTCTCTCCTGCTTCCCCCAACCAGCTCTCCTCTGTGGAAACCCATCTCCCCCGTCGCAAGCTCAGCTCCCCACCTGGCCCAGCCCATACCTCCGAGGCGCATCCACAGGAGCCTCATGTCCTTCTCTGTCTCCACAGATCTCTCCTGTGATGCAGCTGCTGCCACCATCCCGAGAGGGGACCAGCGGGAGCCCCATGCCCTGACCCCAAGGCCCAGCCCCCTGGCCCTCACATTCCTGCCCAGCAAGCCAGGCACCCGGCCCCAGCCTGAGGGAGCCAGCTGGGATGCAGGACCTGGAGGGGGCCCCTCAGCCTGGGCAGACCTGGCAGAGGGTGGCCCGAGCCCAGTGCTGCTCCCTGAGGGCCTGCCCCCCGAAGCTCTGCCCTCCGAGGCTCCCCTCCCAGCCACCCTGGAGCCTCGGATTGTGATGGGTGAGGAGACGTGCCAGGCCTCCTCATCGCCCAGGGCAGCCCGGCCAGCGCTCAGGGACCGGGAGGGTGGGCACCCCGGCTTGCACCCACCCCTCAAGTTGTGTTCTCAGGGTAATCCTCCTGTGCCTTCCCCTCCCCCAGAGCCTGATTCCTACTTCACGCCTCCCTCCACCCCCACCAAGACCACCTATGCCCTGCTCCCTGGCCACGGGCCCCACAGGGACACAAGAGACTCAGAGGCTGAGTCGCTGGACTCACCACCCGCCTCGCCCTCCGGCTCCTACATCACAGCCGATGGGGACAGCTGGGCCTCATCACCGTCCTGCTCCCTCAGCCTGTTGGCTCCAGCCGAAGGGCTGGACTTCCCCTCAAGCTGGGGCCTCTCCCCACCAGGGTCGGTGGCGGATGAAGGAGAGCTGCACTGTGCCGGGCCCCCCTCCTCCGAGTCCAGCCTCTCAGCAGACAGTGGCTCTTCCTGGGACCAGGAGGGTCACTTCTTCGACCTGGACTTCCTGGCCAATGACCCGATGATCCCCGCAGCCCTCCTGCCCTTCCAGGGCAGCCTCATCTTCCAGGTGGAGGAGGTGGAGGTGACACCACTGCCCCAGGAGGAGGAGGTGGAGGAGGCGGCTCCCACCCCGGATGGGGACCTGGCCGGGGAGGGTGAGGAGGACAGCACGTCCGCGTCCTTTCTGCAGTCACTGTCTGACCTGTCCATCGTGGAGGGTGTGGACGAGGCCTTCGCCTTCCGGGACGACACCTCGGCGGCCTCCTCTGACTCAGACTCGGCCTCCTATGCGGGGGCGGACGATGAGCGGCTGTACAGCGGGGAGCCCCACGCCCAACCCACCGCCCTGCTCCAGGACAGCATCCAGAAGACAGAGGAGAAGCGCGGCAATGGGGCCGAGGGACCGCAGGCTCGGGAGGGGGCCGTGTCCTGGGGCCCAGAGGAGGCCATTCCTCAGGTCTCAGAGGGAGAGGCCCATCTCAGCCAAAGCTGGGAACCAGTCAAGGACAGAACGGAAGAGGGCCTCACTTTAGGCCAGGAGTCCACTGCAACTGTGACCCCTCACGGTCTGCAGGCAGCCCCAGGCCTCCAGATGGAGGCGGCTACCAGGGTGGCCCCCGAGGCTGGGGAGGAAGAAGTGGACTCACCCGCTGGACAGGCGCCTGCTGCCGGGGCAATGCCTCAGCCCTCCCAGGAGGGTGCAGGTCCCACGTTAGGCCAAGGGCCTGTCGCTGCAGAGATGCCTCCAACTCCACAGGAAGAAGCAAGCCACAGACGCCCGGGCTGTCCTCAGAATCTGAAGGAGGAAGGAAGGCCCGGCCTCCCCTCAGGCCCGGATCCTGTTGCTGCGGCCACACCCGTGCCCCAGCAGCCTGAAGGGGCTCTCGGCTTACCCCAGGACTCTGCTGTGGCAGCACCTCTGTCCCTGCAAGACCCGGGCCTTGCCTCAGGCTGGGAGCCTGTAGCTGCTGCCATCCCTCAGGCCTTGCAGGCAGAAGCAAGCTACTCCCCAGGGACAGTGTCCTCAACCTTCCTTGCTCTGCAGGAAGTAGATATGGCCTTAGGACTAAGGCCAGCACCCGAGGAAAGAGTCGCAGCCCTCCCTGGAGTCCCAGAGCCTCCAGCCGTGGACCAGGTCCACCAGGATGACCCACAGCCAGCCACAGAAGCTGGGACCCCTCAGGCCTCATGGGAAGATGCGGGTCTCACCTTGGGCCTGGTGGCCCCTGATCTCCCTGAGCCTGCCTCTGGCACTGGAAAGGAAGTAGCCCATCCTCCTGAGCCCGCCTGTGACTCTGGGGAGGAAGTGGCCCATCCCCCTGAGCCCACCATTGACTCTGGGGAGGAAGTGGCCTGTCCCGCTGAGTCCACCTCTGGCACTGGGGAGGAAGTGGCCTGTCCCCCTGAGCCCGCCTGTGACTCTGGAGAGGAAGTGGCCCATCCCCATGAGCCCACCTGTGACTCTGGGGAGGAAGTGGCCTGTCCCGCTGAGTCCACCTCTGGCACTGGGGAGGAAGTGGCCCGTCCCCCTGAGCCCGCCTGTGACTCTGGAGAGGAAGTGGCCCGTCCCCCTGAGCCCGCCTGTGACTATGGGGAGGAAATGGCCCGTCCCCCTGAGCCCACCTGTGACTCTGGGGAGGAAGTGGCCTGTCCCCCTGAGCCCACCTGTGACTCTGGAGAGGAAGTGGCCCGTCCCCCTGAGCCAACCTCTGGCACTGGGGAGGAAATGGCCCATCCCCCTGAGCCCACCTGTGACTCTGGGGAGGAAGTGGCCCATCCCCCTGAGCCCACCTGTGACTCTGGGGAGGAAGTGGCCCGTCCCCCTGAGCCCACCTGTGACTCTGGGGAGGAAGTGGCCCGTCTCCCTGAGCCCGCCTGTGACTCTGGGGAGGAAGTGGCCTGTCCCCCTGAGTCCACCTCTGGCACTGGGGAGGAAGTGGCCTGTCCCCCCGAGCCCACCTGTGACTCTGGAGAGGAAGTGGCCTGTCCCCCTGAGCCCACCTGTGACTCTGGAGAGGAAGTGGCCCATCCCCCTGAGCCCACCTGTGACTCTGGAGAGGAAGTGGCCTGTCCCCCTGAGCCCACCTGTGACTCTGGAGAGGAAGTGGCCCATCCCCCTGAGCCCACCTGTGACTCTGGAGAGGAAGTGGCCTGTCCCCCTGAGTCCACCTCTGGCACTGGGAAGGAAGTGGCCTGTCCCCCTGAGCCCACTTGTGACTCTGGGGAGGAAGTAGCCCATCCCCCTGAGCCCACCTGTGACTCTGGAGAGGAAGTGGCCTGTCCCCCTGAGTCCACCTCTGGCACTGGGAAGGAAGTGGCCTGTCCCCCTGAGCCCACTTGTGACTCTGGGGAGGAAGTAGCCTGTCCCCCTGAGCCAACTTCTGGCACTGGGGAGGAAGTAGCCTGTCCCCCTGAGCCAACTTCTGGCACTGGGGAGGAAGTAGCCCGTCCCCCTGAGCCCACCATTGTTGACTCTTGGGAGGAAGTGGCCCATCCCCCTGAGCCTGCCTCTAGCACTGGTGAGGAAGTAGCCAAGGGCCTTTCTGTGCCTGAGCAGGAAGCGTGTCTCAAAGCCAGCTTGCACATAGGCGATAGGGCCGAGCCCCACTCGGCCCCAGAGGAGGCCCTGGGGACTGAGAACCGGATGGGAGCAGGCCCCGAGCCATCAGTGCTCCTGAGTGCAGGAGAGGCTCTCGAGGTACATCCTACTGCCTGTCCCAAGGTCAGCCACGTGCAGCCGCTGAGCCCAGCTGGGGAGGGAAGAGGCCTAAGCAGCGAGGCCACGGTGGGACCCGGGCTTCCCACAGATGTGGCCACAGAGACCGGTCTGGGCTCCTGCCCAGCGTCTTCAGCAGGGGCTGCATCCAGGCTGGACAGGGGCTGCCCTGAAGAGCCTGTCCCCACATCTGCACCACCCTCCTGGCAGCCGGAGCCTGTGCCAGGCCCGGGCAGTGGAGAGCAGCCCCAGGCAGCACCCAGTGTCCTCAGCCCCTCCCCACTGCAGCCCCCAGAAAACCCTGCCAGGAACCTGCCCAGCTCACCCCAGGACAGGCTCCCAAGTCCTGACACCCCTGCTCCTGGTGTTCTTGCCCGGGTAGCCCCGCCCCCCTTGGGGTCCCCAGTCCTCTGCCTGTGCCAGGATCCCCAGGAAGGCTCCATGGAGGACGAGGAGCTCCCAGGCTCTCCGGGCCTCCCACTGCCTCGGGTAGGAGCCCAGCAGGCCACTGCTGCTGTCTCAGGAACCATGCAGCCTCTGGGGGCTGGGCAGCGGGTCAGCCTCTTGCCCCATTCCCCCCTCCTCATCCCCAAGGAGGCCCCCAAGGATGCCAAAGACCTGGCCTCACAGATGTCAGCCCCCTGCCAAGTGCCTCCTCGCTCTGGAACCCAGAGCCCGCCTGGCCCTCAAGGGCTCCCCGCCCCCGAGCAGCAAGAGGACGAGGACAGCCCGGAGGAAGGTAAGGGGGTGTGCAGGTTGGGGGCCCTGGGCTCAGCCAGCTGGACTCCTCCCCACGTCTGGTCCTGCTGTCCCGGGCTGGAACACCTCCAAGGCGGCAGCGTGATAGGCCCAGACCTCACACTCTACCGTGGAGGGAGGGCCAGTGCTGCTCTCTGGCCAGGATATGGCAGCCCCCTGACCCCCCATCTAGACGTGAGAGGCCGTCCGTCCTGACAACTCTCCCTTCCCCAGACTCAACGAGGGCCCCAGGCTCGGGCCAGCACTCAGAGAGCCATGGGGAATCATCGGCTGAGCTGGACGAGCAGGACATCTCAGCACCTCAGACCACCCAGTGCCCAGCCCAGGTGCCTGGTCCAGGGGAGAGGGTGGGCCTCTGGGAGGGCTCCACACCCCCACCCACGGGTGCTCAGCTCTCACCTCTCTCTAGGCCCCGACAGGCGGCAGCGAGGAGACTATCGCCAAAGCCAAGCAGAGTCGCAGTGAGAAGAAGGCCCGAAAGGTGGGCTGGGGGCTCCCCTGGGGACCGCAGGACTGGAACTGTCTGCATAGGGGAGTCTTTACCAAGACCCCTCACACCCTATGGCTAAGAAAATCCCATCTGTAGGGTGGCCTGTGGGTCAATGGCAGTAACCCACACACCTACCCCTAAACAGCTGAGGCTGGAATGTCATGAGACGGCCCTGAGGGACTGCAGCTAGCCCCCACTGCAGGGGGAAGGACTGAGCGCCCAAGGTCACGGGGAATGGCAGAGCCTTTGCCTTCCCAGGCACTGTGCAGCCTTCCTCCCCCAACTTGCCTGATGCCAGGTCTAAGCCCCCCTCTGCCCTCTGCCCTCTGCTTCCAGGCGATGTCGAAGCTTGGCTTGCGGCAGATTCAGGGAGTCACCAGGATCACCATCCAGAAGTCCAAGAACATCCTCTTTGTCATTGCCAAGCCCGATGTCTTCAAGAGCCCAGCCTCGGACACCTATGTGGTCTTTGGTGAGGCCAAGGTCTGTCCTGTCCTTGGCCATGGCCTGGGGGATAGGGGGGCAGAAGGACAAGAAACGGGGAGTGCACGAGCTCTGCTGACATGGCCATTCCTGTGCTGCAGATCGAGGACCTGTCCCAGCAAGTGCACAAAGCTGCAGCTGAGAAGTTCAAGGTGCCCTCAGAGCCCTCAGCCCTAGTCCCTGAGTCAGCGCCCAGGCCCAGGGTGAGGCCAGAGTGCGAGGAAGAGGAGGAGGAGGAAGAGGTGAGGCCCGGGGTCTCCAGGACTCTGAGGGGGTGGGCTCTGCCTTAGGCACCTCAGGCAGCTCCAGCCACCTCCCTGTTCCCCCCATCCAGGTGGATGAGGCAGGGCTGGAGCTGCGTGACATTGAGCTGGTGATGGCCCAGGCCAACGTGTCCAGGGCCAAGGCTGTGCGTGCCCTGAGGGACAACCACAGTGACATTGTCAATGCCATTATGGTGAGAAAGCGCCTGCCCCTTCCCTATGCCCCAGCTGTTCCCAAGGGCCTTGGAGAGGTCATGGTGTTGACTCTGCTGGGGAGGGCATTCCCCAATATGACTCTTTCTCCATTTTTCTACAGGAACTGACGATGTAGCCGCTGACAAAGAAGCTGGGTCCATCCTGCCCTTCCCTCAGCTCTGCTGCTTAATAAAGCAGTGCCCTTCACTGCTCCCGAGTGTCCCTCACTGCCCTCTGGGGCCCCCTCAATCCCCTATGGTGTCCCTTCATTGCCCTCGTGTCCCCTCATCACCTGTGTCATTCCCTCATTGCCCCATGGAATCCATTCATCTCTGGAGTCCCCCTGTCAGCCCCCGGCATCCCCTAATCACCCTCTGGCATCCCGTCAAGCTCAGTAGTGTCCCCTCATTGCCACCTGATGTACCCTCATTGCTCTCTGGCATCCCAACAAGTTCACTGATATCCCTTCATCCATCTCTGGTGTCCCCTCATCCATCTCTGGTGTCCCCTCACCCATCTCTGGATTCTCTTCATCGCTCCCTGGTGTCCCCTCATCGCTCCTTAGTGTCCCCTCAGGCCCACATCTGGCTAAGAGTGGCCATCTACTCCATGTCCTATACTGTCTCTGCAGGCAAAGAGCAGTGACCTGCAGAGTGGGGGAACGTTAGGAATGGGGGGCCCTGGAGGGGCAGGTGTGTGGTTCCTGTGACTCTCCACAGAGATCCATGTAAGGCCATACTTGATCTGTGCATGGAGTAGGGGTACTGTGACCCACGGGCACAGGGTAGACTCTGGTGGGGGTCAGGGGCCCAGGAGACTTTGTGGTGTGTCTTCAGCCCCTCCTGATGCTTCCAGCAGGACCACTGGCGTAGAAACATAGAGACAGCATCAACAATGAACAGTTTCTCGGCTTTCCATGGTCTAGAGTCCCAAGACCAGCTCTAGGACAGCCCAGGACAGCAGAAAAATTCTCCCCCAAAACACTGTCCAGGCCCCTTCCCGTCCTGAAGCTGTGATACCAAAAGGACTTGTCCACCTTGCTCAGGAGGGCCCCTGAGAGACACTCCAGATCCCCTGGCTTGGCCTGGACACAGCTTGGGCATCCACGGAGCCCCGGGGCTCTGCCTCCTGCCTCCCCAGGCTGGACCAGAGAGGACCCCAGTCCTGCCATGAGCCCTCCACCCAAGCACAGGCCCCCAATGTGGGCATGAGGGGGATGTGACCGTCCAGTCTCCTCAGCCTGGGGACTTCCTGGATGTGCCTTCGGGGTTCTCAACAGGTCTGAGACCACTCTCCACTGGTGGTAGAGGCCCAGGACATCCCAACCCCAGGTTACCTCCCCTCCCCTCTCCATATCCCAAGAAAAGGTCACTGGGGCCAGAAAGTCACAAGCCAGACAGGGACCAATAAGGCTTGGGGAGAACTCACTGGGAATGGGGAGGGGGAAGGAGATGAGACATGGGCTCAGGGGGAGGGGCAGAGGAGCACAAGGCCCCCATGGGCCTCTCTGAAGACCCTGACTTGGGGCTCCAAGACAAGGTCTCCAAGATGGTGCTTCTTATCTGGTGCAGGGTTTGCTCTTGAGGAAACCACCTGCAACACTGGGGGGTGGGGAGACCCTCAGGCAAGGGGCCAGAGGATGGCAGTGTCCATGGAGTTCTCAGGGCACAGGACAGAAAGACGAAGGCATCCTGATGCTCACATGCTACACACTGCCCCTGCCACCTGTGAGAGGCCCCACGACCACAAAGCAAAAGCCCAAACCATGTCCTTCCTGCAGCATGAGAGCCTGCTGCCTTCCCTGCCTCAGCCCCTGAGCCCACTGTGCCCAGCCTTGGGAACCACCGAGCAGACGTGGCCACAGGGACAGAGCCAGAGTGGACACCCCTCCTGGTACCCATGGCTTTCACCCAACTGGATCATAAACATGCTTGGCAACCAAAGATTAAATTATTCACATTGCAGTAAACTTTTTAAGGTCTCTGAGAGTTACAACAGGAACATCATGTGCAAAACTGACAGCTGTCCAGGGCCTGGGGGACAGGACGGCTCCCCCTGCCAGCTTGGCCTGGCCCTCCACAAATGGGAACATGGTGCAGGGCGTGGCACAGAGCCTCCTGCCCACTCCAGGGCAGATGTCGCTCGGTAGCTCCTTGTTCTTTCACAGTAGAGGACTTGGGCCACCTCTGCCTGGAGCCCCTCCCCAGCCCCCAACCAGTGGGAAGGGCTGACGTGCACGTCTAGGCACCTCCTCCAGGAAGGCCTGGGATGACCATGTGGAAGGTGTGGGTGCTCCCTGCTGCCTGTCATGCTGAGTCCTGGTCCATGCTGCAGCCCAGTGCCTCAATATCACTGCTGATGTCCGAGATCATACGGTCCCACTCGTCCCCCTCGGAAGGCACCGACCGGTCATCAGAGCTGCCTGCGGCCCTGTTCCCATTGGTGGTGGAAGTGGAGGTGGTGCTCAGGGCCCGCCGGTGCCGGCCAAAGCTGTCAGTGATGATGCCACGGCCATCCTTAACACCGATGGTCTCCAGAAAGTTCTCGAAGTGCTGGCTATCCTTCTCGGGGATGAAAGGCCTCAGACCTGCAGACACATGACACCAACACAGCAGCTCCAAATGGGCTCAGAGCCCCCGACAGGACCGCAGCTGTCCCTGGGCGCACAGCCCAAGAACTGATGCCACGCGAATCATGTCCAGCACTGTGTTTGAAAACATGCGCCCTGGGGTCAGTGGTGTGCATGGCTAAAACCCCAACTCTGACAAGTACCACCAGCCTGGACAGCTTACTGCCTCTGCCCCACCTGCCCTCCTCAACGTGGCCTCCTCTTGTTCTCTCTCAGTCCTCACAGAGCCCCCATGTTCCAGGAAAGAAAACTGAGGCTCAGAGCAGTCCTCGAAGCTGTCGCTGGCATCTAGCAACAAGGGTGCAATCCTCAGAGCCAGGCCTCACATCGAAGCCTGCTGTTTGCTGCTGTAGCCCAGCCCAAGGTAAGCACCCCAACTTGAAGACTCACTCCTATAGGGGAGCCCAGTGTCTCAAAACCTCTACTCCCCACTGCAGAAGGTGGACAGAGCCCCATGCTGGGGGAAGAGGAGGCAGGGGACTCAGGTCCCATGTGCAGAAGGGGTGGCATTTCTGGAGCCCCTGACACCCATTGTGCTGTGAAGGCCCTGCAGGGCTTTCAATGAAGGGAAGTGACCTGCCCAGGGCAAGAGCCAAGAGGTGGCTAAGGTGAGGCCTGAGGTGGAGGGATAGTCCACCCTGATGCAGGCCCCAAGTACTGGACCCCACTGCTCAGCTCTACTCCCACCTCCAGGGGACCAACCACTTCTGGAAAGGAGGCGCCTAGCTGAGAACAAGCCAATGGGGCGCTTGTCAGTCTCTGAGTAAAACAAAGGCATACTTCTGGCTGGAGGTCAGGGGCCTTGGACCCAAACCCTGGCTGGGACTGACCCAGGAGGCTGCAGGGTTGGCAAGAGTTCAGACTGGACTCCAGCAGGCCCGGCCTCCAGCTCTTCTTCCTCCCATAAGCAGGCAGCCCTTTCCAGGCTGGTACAAGGGTAACAGACAATTCTTCGGTTTGTTGGGGCCAGAGGCCCAGGGCCCAGAAATTCTCATTCAGCTACCACCAACTTGCAATGTTCTAAACATTAGCAGAGGGGAAAACCACAGCCACATCACTGTCCCCATGAGGTGTGGGGCTGATATCTGACTGCTAGGCAGACATTAAGGGGCTGAGGCCCAGCTGTCCGAGGCAGGCCATACAGACCACCTAGCCACCTGCACTCTGACCTAACTGCTGGGCTCCTTGGGGAGGTCTTGGCAAAGCCTGGTCCTTCCAGCTGAGAACGGGGTCTTCACCCTTCTGCCCAGCAACTCCTACACACTCACCAAAACCCACTCAAGCATCACCTCCTTGAAGAACCTCCCTGACTCCTCTCTAGCACTCTCCTCCTGAAATGTAGGGTTTTGTCCACTCCCAGGGGACCCTCTCCTGATCCCTGGCAGCAGGGCCCACCCAGCTCAGCTCAGGGTTGCACAGCCCGAGAACTGATACCATGTGAACAATGTCCACATCATGGTTGAAAACATGTGCCCTGGAGCCAGTGTGTGTGTGGCTAAAACCACCAGGCCCCGGGAAGCGCCCTTCCAATAGTCACAGCAGATGCCCTGGCCTCAGCTGCGCTCTAACAACTACCTCTGGTTCAAACATGCCGTTGTCAACAGAGCACACCCCCCACCTTCTTGAGGGTGCCATGTGGACCTTCCCAGGGGACCAGTCACCCTCCCGCTCACCGAGGAGCAGGAACTTGCGGCTGTCCCCGTAGAGCTGCCGCAGGTTGATGCAGAACTCGTGGATGGAGGCCCCATTGCGGTACTCATGCAGCAGCGCCGCGAACTGCTGGATCTCCTGCGAGGATAGCTTGGTGCGCAGCTGTGAGAGAGCAGAGCAGGCGCGGCTGGGCGTGGCAGACACCCGGAGCGCGGGCCAGCCACCTCTGGCTTCACATCTGCACCCGCTATGGGGTCAGAATGCCCACAAGGCGTCCCCATCCCATCAGGCCCATCCTGGGAGCCACCTGGAGGAGACCAAGGCTCCCAGGCAGATCCACTCTCCTGAGCTGGAACACTGGCTGCCTCCTGGGCATGGCAGGAGGAAGGGAGTGCCAGGCCGGCTCCCCAGATGTCCACACACTCCACACAAAGCAGCAGAGGATCCGCAAGCACTCAAATCAGCAGGGCAGGGGCGGGAAGCTAGTGACCTGGGCCCAGGGCCCATGCCGATGTCCTTGGGGCACACCCCACCTTCTTGAGGGTGCCATGTGGACCTTCCCAGGGGACCAGTTACCCTCCCGCTCACCGAGGAGCAGGAACTTGCGGCTGTCCCCGTAGAGCTGCCGCAGGTTGAACACCCCCCACCTTCTTGAGGGTGCCATGTGGACCTTCCCAGGGGACCAGTCACCCTCCCGCTCACCGAGGAGCAGGAACTTGCGGCTGTCCCCGTAGAGCTGCCGCAGGTTGATGCAGAACTCGTGGATGGAGGCCCCATTGCGGTACTCATGCAGCAGCGCCGCGAACTGCTGGATCTCCTGCGAGGATAGCTTGGTGCGCAGCTGTGAGAGAGCAGAGCAGGCGCGGCTGGGCGTGGCAGACACCCGGAGCGCGGGCCAGCCACCTCTGGCTTCACATCTGCACCCGCTATGGGGTCAGAATGCCCACAAGGCGTCCCCATCCCATCAGGCCCATCCTGGGAGCCACCTGGAGGAGACCAAGGCTCCCAGGCAGATCCACTCTCCTGAGCTGGAACACTGGCTGCCTCCTGGGCATGGCAGGAGGAAGGGAGTGCCAGGCCGGCTCCCCAGATGTCCACACACTCCACACAAAGCAGCAGAGGATCCGCAAGCACTCAAATCAGCAGGGCAGGGGCGGGAAGCTAGTGACCTGGGCCCAGGGCCCATGCCGATGTCCTTGGGGTGCAAACAACTGCACGGCAGACAGAGTTTTCAATGACAGCTGTGTTAAGACTGGGAGGGTGAGGGGAGGCACCCAGCATCACAAGAGCCACTGTTCCCACTTAAGATCCAGGCACTGGCTGGGGTCCAGCCCCAATGGCCACAGCACCCCACACCCCAGGCCCACTGAGTCCTCCCCCAAACTGTCCCCTGGGAAAAGGCAGATGATGTTAGCAAGAATGACCAGGTGTAAGTAGGGCATTCTGCTCACTTAAACCCACCCCAGTAGGAAGCCCACCCCCTACTGCTCCTCCTCCTTCTCAGGGCTCTTCCTTGTGCAGCCAGTGCCCCAGCTGCCTACCGTCAGCATGTAGTCCTGCAGCAGCTCGGTGGCGCTGGCACTCAGCTCGCTCTCACTGGCAGTCTTGCCATGGGGTGATGCCGGCATGCAGAAGGACAAGGGTGATAGACCACCTGCATCCACAGAGTCAGGGAAGGAGCTGCAAAGGAACATGGCATGTGGGCAGGCAGCTCCCTGACCCCCCACCCCACACCCTCCCCAGATGCCTAGTCAGTGCCAGGCGTGCACTGGTCCCCAACCTGAAACAGAGAAATGTCGATGACAATGACAAGATGACAATGAGAAGAGAGCTGGCCCAGTATGGGCTGGCACAGCCACCCAGTGGAGAGAGACCAGGCAGGTGACAGGAGAGCCGTCAGCTCAGCCTGGTCCTGGAACTACCCGGGGTGTGGCTTTCGGACAGGCTCTGAGTGAAGGGAAGGAGGACATGGGCCGAGGGGGTGGGCAGCATTGTGTGTATTGTGGGGGAAGGTGTGAAAGGCTGGGAGGGAGGCCAGGAGATAGACTGTTCAGGGAAGTGCCCGGAGCTGGAAGGCAGGGCAAGAAGGAAAGCCAGAAAGGAGAGAGAACATGGACTGAGCCACTATGGAGGGGACAGGGCTGGATGGCACAGAGCCCCCTCAGGCTTGGGCAGAGGAATATCACCATTCTATCCCATGTGCCTTTACAAGGCCTGGTGGGGAAGGTGGGGAAGGGAGGGAGGTGGACCTGGTGGGGATGGCAGGGAAGGCAGCGAAGGCAGGGAAGGCGGGGAGGGCGGGGATGGTGGGCTGAGGTGTTGGGCTGCATGCATGTTCAACCCCAGGGCTCTGGTGTGTGTACTCACAAAGTGCCGGCCTCTGCCTCATAGGCCTCCTTGATGTCCACTTTAGTGGAAGAATCATCTGTAAGGAAGATGCAGAAAACAAAGACAACTTTCAGGTACATGGGGGAGGAATTTCAAGTACCACCATCAAGCTTTAATTAAACACTCAGAAGACAGCTGGCTGCACTGCTACATTCACAGGAGCCGAGGCAGTGCTAGCCTTCAGTGACCTCCCAGTCCCTCGTCATCAAGCCGCCCATGCCCTAGAACTTGCTGTGTGCCCCCAGGCAGGCCTCTCCAGACTTGAGCTCACACTCACCCATCTGTCAAATGCACACCCTGCTGGGGGCTGGGCTATGGTCCATGGAAGACACACCCATGGCCCAAGATAACAAAAGCAGCCTTTGGAGGTGTCAACTACGTGCCAGGCAGAGCCTCAGGAGCTTTGTCTTCTTGAACCCAGGCACGTGTCATCTCTGTCCTCACTTGTAGAAGAGGAACTGAATCAGAGTCTATGCAGCCTAGCCCAGGTCACACAGCATAAGCCACAGTCAGAGCCGAGAGGTCTGACCCTCAGCTTGGACACAGCCAAAGCCCCGGGATTCCTGAGACCCTCCAACCAGCATAGGGTCTGGGAGAGAGCAGCTACTTGGGTGATACTCAATAAATGACATCAGGTCCATGTGACACAGACTGCAGTTTGCTATTCCCAACCTGAAGGGACATTTCAACAGTGGTATAGGCAGTGAGTGTAAGTTTTATGAGAAAGGCAGGTGAGTCTTGGGGAAAATATAAGACTTTAAATGGGAGCAGAAGGGAGAGAACGGGAGAAAAAAGGAACATTTCTGGCAGTGGGAACAAGGTGAGTATGGTGGGTGATTAATGCCCCCCAAAGAGGTCCACACCCTAATCCCCAGAACCTGTGACTATGTTACATTACATGGCAAAAGGGAATTAGACTTGCTAATCAGCCAACCTTAAAATAGGGGATGACCCTGGATTGTGTGGGTGGGCTCAGTGTGATCACAAGGGTCCTGATGTCTGGAGAGAGGTTGAGTCAGGGGAGTTGTGACCATGGAGGAGGGCAGAGATGCCACATGGCTGCCGTGAGGACAGAGGAGGACCCACGAGCCAAGGCATGCAGCTGCCTCCAGGAGCTGGGAGGGCAAGGATGGGTTCTCCCCCAGAGCCCCCAGAACTGTGAGAGAATGTATCTGTGCTGTTTAAGCTGCTACACTTTAGAGCTCTGTTAGGGCAGCAGTAGAGAACTAACACAGCAAGCAAAAGCCCCAAGGCAGAAATAAACAGAGTACACGTGCATGTGCACGATGTTCATGCGTGTATGTGTGCACACACGCATGTCTGTGTGATGTCCGTGTGCGCGCAAGCGCAGATCGCACGGTGAGGTCTCAGGAAAGGCTAGCAGGGAAGAAAGTCCACTCAAGAAGCCCCCAGTAGTGGTGTTACACTGTGGGCTAATTTTGTGAAAACTCATTCCACTATACACTTATGACTTGAGTACTTTTCAGTAAAAAAATGTATTAAAGAGAGCCGGCCCGGTGGCGCACTCTGTAGAGTGCAGCGCTTGGGAGCGCAGCGGCGCTCCCGCCGAGGGTTCAGATCCCATATAGAGACTGGTCCGCTCACTGGTTGAGCGCGGTGCGGGCGCAACACTGAGGGTTGCGATCCCGTTGCCGGTCGTGGTATGGGCGCGACACTGAGGGTTGCGATCCCGTTACCGGTCACGAAAAAAAAAAAAAAAGACAAAAAGGAAAAAAAAAAATGTATTAAAGAAAAAAAAGACCCGACTGGGAATTTTAATGCACAAGGGCCAAACCAATCACACTAAAATGGAATGTTTAACTACGGCTCAATAAAGCATCTCCTACTCATGCAGTATGTTACTCTGGACAATCTGTTGACCTCCAAGCCTCAACTTCCCCATCTCTAAAATGGGGAAGAGATTGGACCTACTTCACTGGGTGGTCAAGGACTAAATGAGACAGAGGAGCATTAGCACCTACAGCAGGAGGGAGGTGGCGCTGAGAGGCAGCCCTCACGATAGCCGGGCACTCGCTTCCTCAAAGCTTTGTAGACTCCCCGCCATCCATCCTCTTTGCTGAGATATGTGAATTACTAGGGAGAGGGAGAGGGCTGGGACTCACCTCCATAAACAGAGGAAACTGCATGCAACAAGCTGCACTGCTCGCAATATCTTTCTTTTTCTGCATCTGATTTACATAGACCATTAATCCTTAATCAACAATATGTTTGAAAAATAGATGCTCTCATGTTTAGAAGATTTAGCTCAAATGAGCTTATCTATAAAGGAGTGTTTTGTATGGACTAACAGTGTCCCGAAAATGCTCTCTGGCTAGCTTTTCTGGAACGTGCAGAAGGCAGTAGCTCCAAGCACTGTAGCCTTCGGGGTTCCTTCGGTTGTTCCCCAGCTACCACTGCCTGCCTTGGCTGGGGCAACCTGAGCAGCCCCCCAAGGGTCCGGCCACGGTCCTGGAAGGGGCCTTCACACTGAGAGCAGCCATGGTCTGGGTGCACTGAGAGGGAGGTTCCCCAGACCCACCCTCGGCCTCCCCGATTCTGGAACATGCCCCAGCACTGGGAGCCTTCTCCTGGCCCTGTCTTTGCTCTCAGTTAGGCGAAGTGACTTTAGCTTCATGTGGTTTCAGAAGAAGTGTTCAAGGTCTCCAAAGTGATACCAGAAAGCCACCAAGATGGCCTAGCATTTGTGCTGAAAACAACACCGAGGAGGGAGACAGACTAACATGGGCTAAGTGAAGTCTGGAAACAAGGGCCACAACATCACTGCAGGCCAACTGTTCCAGGTGTCACTCACAGCAGAACCTTCAGAGGAAGGGGAGGGGAGGACCCTGATGTGCCCCGTCTCCTGCTCCTGCTCCCCATTCTCCCACTGCCCACATTCACTCAACGTACCACTGTGCAGGGACAGATGGCGGGTGGGAGTGGAGGCCCCGTCAAATATAGCTCTGTCCAAAAAGTCGATGGTGGACTCCGTGTAAACAATCTGGAAGACCTGGCCGAGCAGGGAGCACAGCTCTTCTGCAGCAACCTGCAGTGGGAGGAGGACAGCAGCTGCTTTGGTCAGTCTGGCTGGGGGGCCAGGGACCATGCCTTTCTGGGTGGCTTCCAGGGCACATGGAATGTCTCAGATGCTCAATAAATATGAATGACGAGCAGACTCCATAATCAAATCTCCATCTTTCACTGCCCAAAGGGCTATCAAAAAGGAGACCCAGCTAAGTGCTCCAAGACTCTACCCAGGAATGGACTGTAGCCTAGGTGTGGCCTTGCAGGTGCACAGGGACCATCAGGGCACTGCCCCCTCTTACCATTAACCTGGCCCACCAACACTCTCACAACTCCTACCCCAACCTTGGGAAAGAGGGGAGAAGATATCATCAGCACCACAGCTATAAAACAGTTTTACAAAGTGTGATGTCTAAAGCAGGGGTTCTCAACTGGGGCAATTTTGCACCCCTGTTTAGGGGACATGTGGCAGTATATGGAGACATTTTCAGTTGTCACAAGGGGAGAGGCCAGGGATGCTGCTCAATACCCTGCAACACACAGGGTAGCCCCTGACAATGAAGAATTATCCGGCTAAAAATGTCAATAGCGCCAAGGCTGAGAAACGTGATTGGAGGATATTTAAGGTGGGCTGTCACTACTGTTCATTTCACAGATGGAAAAATTAAACGGAAAGGTGTTCAGTGACTTGCAGAGGCCCTGTCACTGTCGGGTGGCTGAGGGGAGCTCCAAAGCCAGACCCACAAACTCCTGGTTTTGGCTCTTCCACAGTTTCAGGGACCTGCAGGCACAATCCTTAACACAGGCAAGTCTGGGGTGTGGTCCCCACACAGGGGGCCACTGCCCACCTTTCAGCTTGAGGGGAGGGGGAGGTACCTTGAAGAGAAGAACCAAGAGCAAAAGCTCAGGAGCCTACCTCAGGAATGGGGTGGGGGGCTGGAGGGGGCCTGGGATGGGCCTGGGCGGGGCCAGATGGTGGGCGTGGCTACAGGTAGTGTCCAGCCATGGGTAGAGCTGTGATGGGCTAGGAATGGGGCAGGGCCAGGGAGGTCTCACCTTGCTCTCTGCAGCCAGGATGACCAGGCAGCAGGCCTCCACTGGCCCCACTGCACTCTCTGACAGGGAGCCTGCACTGAGGCCTCTGGAACTTTCCGCGCACAGACTCTGGCTGGGGGAGATGCCTGGGTCCTGGGCTGAGAAGGCAACACCATCTCAGGTTAGCACATGGGAAGGAGGGCATTCAAGGCACCAGCTGGGGCTGCATTTAAAACACTGCTCAGGAGCCTTCTACCTGGCTCAAGTGTCTGCCAAATGACCTGGGTGACCGGCCTGTACCAAGCACACCCTCTGGGCAGGGCCTCCCACCACCTCTTCCTTCCCCCACTTCTGTAAACCAGGTGGGAATAGGTGTGCCATGAGCTCCGGGGAACCAGAGCTGCGTGTCATCCCATGGAGGACTATACCACCCCACATGTGTCACCCCAGGTGACTGCCAAGCATCCTTGCTAAAGATGGCAGAGACACACAAGAACTGCTTTTAACTTATACAAAGGAAGGTCATTTCACTTGGTTCAAGTTAATATACAATAGACCATAAATGCAATCCTGAGAGTTATCCACCTCCAGGAGGTTTCTAGGTGTTCTGATCCAAGGCACTCCCTTCTTACAGATGGGTAAACTGAGGCACCGGGGGTGAAGGCCTGGGCCTGACAGTGCGTGAGTGGCAGAGTCCAGGTGCAGAGCTACACAGTTAGATCTGGTGCCCTTGTTCCTCACTCTTAGGTGTTCTGATCCAAGGCACTCCCTTCTTACAGATGGGTAAACTGAGGCACCGGGGGTGAAGGCCTGGGCCTGACAGTGCATGAGTGGCAGAGTCCAGGTGCAGAGCTACACAGTTAGATCTGGTGCCCTTGTTCCTCACTCTACCCACTTCCTCCCCAGGCAAACAAGGCTTTGGCCATACATGGGGTGATTCCAGGCTTGCCTGATGGCGGGAAGGAGCCCCGAGACCAGGAAGCAGGCTCTGAGAGCCAGCACAGTAGGTCAGACTAACCTGGGAGGACCTCAGGACTGGAAACAAAGCCTAGAGTGCCCCTGGTGCCAGGGTGTCAGAGAGAGAGGAAGGCAAGACCAGGCAGCTGCTGGGGAGATGAGGCCAGATGTGGGTGGGCGCATGTGCAGAGATGAGGGCTCCGTAAGGGCTACTCTGCAAACCCCACAATAGACTCCAAGGGCTGCACTTTCCCTACAGCAGCCACTGGCCACCGAGGTGGAAGCAGCCAGAGGTACTGAGCATGTGGAACGTGCCGAGTCCACGCTGAGATTTGCATGCATGCAAGCTGCACACGGGGCCCCAGAGCAGGCACAAAGGAAAGGTATGAAGCAGCTCAGTCATTTTTATACCAATTGTATGCTGACATGGTATTTCAGATAGAGCTAAATAAAATTTATTATGGAAACTAATCCCACTTGTTCCTATACCTTCTTAACATTTTGGATTGGCTCCCTGACCGTTCTCGTGGAAGCAGACGGACAGCTGTGAAGTCACGCCAGCCAGTGTGTGTCTCTGATAACACACTCCCACCTTCTATGAGTTGTGGCCACATGGGCCACCACAAGATGCCACTGCTTCAGATCTGCTGCCTGTCTCTCCTCCATTGCACAGAAAGTGCTTCAGCGGAGGCACAGGTGACCCTGCTTCAGCCCGCAACAACTCAAGTCACAATCCCCTGCACAACCCCTGCCACATGGACCCTCTTGCAGCCAAACCTGACCTCCAGCCTTCCCATCCTGTGCTGCCCCAAATGCTAGTGTCCTCTGGACCTGAAGAGTCATGTGGACGCGCCTGCACATGGTGGGCATGGAGCAGACGTTGGCTATTCATCTGGCCTCCTCTGTGCTGGGAACTCTGTGTTCATGATCCTAAACACAGCACACCTTACCTAAGAATGAGCCCCTACGTGAAAGAAATGTGAATAGATGGAGACACGTTGCTGCTCCTGCGCATCTGCTGAAATGCAGAAATGCACTCTCTCCCTTTAAATCAAAAGTTCCCTCTAAGACTTCAAGTGCTGTTTTTCATCTATTTTTGGAAAGTTTCTTCTGTGCACTTCTCTCTTTCTAAAAAAAACCTACTATCCATTTTCTTTAGCAATTTATTCTGATGACTAAAACTGAGAAACTGCCATGCAGCAAAAGAAACAAAGGGGAGAGCCCATCTCCCCTCCCCACCAGCTTAAAACACCTGCAGGAACCTGGTCAGAAGCTGGTCTTCCTTTGTTCTTGTCCTTATGGATGCCCCAGACCTAGGGCCTCCTGTAGGGACAAGGGTACAGACACAGGGGCGGGGGGTGGGGGTTACCACAGTCGGGCAGGGTGGCTAGGGTAGCTACAAAGCAAGCCTCCTAAAGCCAGATGGAATGGACACAAAGAACGATGACATTTTGTAATGATGAATACACTAATCATCCTGATTTGACCATCATATATCGTACACAGCTATTGACATTCAACTCCATACCCCACATATATGTATAATCAATTATGTTTCAATAGAAATAAATAAAAATAGTGGGGGGCACAGAGTATAATCACAATTTGTAGTAATGGGCATGCTGCCACTATGGATTTGGCCCTCACATCTTAGGCACAAGTCTTAACAGTTTGTTTTGTACCCCATGAATATTCATAAACAATAAAGAAAAGAAAAGAAAGAAAGAAAGAAAATATAGCCAGACGGAACCTTCAAGTCCAGCCCCACCATTTACCAACTGCGTGACCTTCGTCAGATTACTTAAGTTCTCTGCTCTCAGTCACTCCATCTGAAAAGTCGGAAGAAACGGAAGCCTCCTTATGGGTTTATTATAGAGACTGAATGAGATAATTCATGACAGATGCTTTGTACTAACTTGAACCATATTAAATCACCATTTTTACAGATTTTTAAGAATGGTTAAATGTTGGCAGTTTCATACTGTTCAACCTAATTTAATACCTGGCATGAAACATTGATGGTGTTCACTGAACACCATGCAGGGAAACAAGAAACGAGCGGAGAACAAATGGGACCCCACCCAGATGTGTGCGGTGATAGTGCACAGGGTGTGTGCATGTGCGAGAGTGCACGTGTTCATGTGAGCGTGAGTGCAAGTGTGTGTGAATGAGTGCGAGTGTGTATGAGTATGAGTGTACGTGTGTGAGCATGAATACGAGCGTGCATGTGAGCGTGAGTGCAAGTGTATGTGTGAGCATGAGTATGAGCATGTGTAAGTGTACGTGTGAGCGTGAGAGCGAGCATGTGTAAGCGTGAGTACAAGCGCGTGAGCATGTGTATGTGTGTATGTACATGTGCATGTGAGCGTGCATGTGTGAACATGTGAGTGCGAGTGTGAGTGCAAGCATACGTGTGTGAGCATGTGTGAGAGTTTGTGTGTGTGCACGTGTGACTGTGACTGAGTCCATGTGTGTGCGTGGACATGTGGTGGTGTGTGTACTGGGGAGGGTGTGGGTGGGTTCAGCTATGGCTACAGAGAAGACAGGGAGAAGGGCTGTACTTCCAGCAGCCACTCCCATAAGCCCCTCCACAGTCACCTCTGTGGTTTGTGACCGCAGCAATTCCCCGACCAGATCCACAGGTTGGTGACTTTCTGTGGACAGTTCCTGAGAGCTCAGCCCCGCTGGTGACATCATGGCTGAAGGTATCAATAACGAGAAGGCTCAACAGATTCCCAGTGAGCTACCAACCTCAAGTGGAAAAACTACGTTCACTCCTTGCTCCCTAAAGCATGGCGTGACACCCAGGCAGATGCACTCGGACCCCTTTCACCCTGCCACCAGCCCTCTGGAAATGAAGGCCTTCAAGATCACCGCAGCTGAGGGCCGGCCCATGGCTCACTTGGGAGAGTGTGGTGCTGACAACACCAAGTCATGGGTTAAGATCCCCTTACCGGTCATCTTTTAATAAAAAAAAAAGATCAACTCAGTTGCCAGCCAGGATAAACTCAGCGAGACCAGGACAGTGTCCCCACTGCAATGCAGCCTCAAAACTCACAACCAAGATGGAAGGCCATGGTGTCTGCCCTCACATCTCGGCAGCCTGAATGCCAGGCTGAGGCCTCCAGAAGCACTGGCATTCAGCAAGGCACTTGTGGTACTCATCGACAGGTTAAGGGAGTGATTTGAAAAGAATGTTCTGCACAATTCTGCCCTAACATGAAGAGAGCTGACTGCAAGGACACACTCAGCATGGCCTCGTAGACCAAGCGCTCCTGGTTGCCTGGACCTTGTCTTTGCTGTCCTGGTTCTGAGAATGCTGTGCAGGGCTCAAAATGTCAGCCAAGCTGAAGTGACGTCCCTCCCTGAGCCTTCTCTCCGGGGCTCTGCCACACCTGGGCTGTGGAGGTGACTCCAGTGTAACCAGAGGGAGACCCCAGAGGGCCTGCGGGGCAGAGGGACAAGACACCAACTCTTCTGACACCAGTCCCAAATACTGGATCCTTCATCAAGTCCCCAACAGCTCTGAGTGTCAGATCCCCGGGGTCATGGCAGCTGACCTCAGAGGTAGGAGGGCCAATTCTCAGTCAGGACAAGTATCGGCACCTGACACACAGCTGCAGAAACAGTCTCCAGAGCTTCATGAAATTAATTCATGGATGTTCTCCATAGGACACGGACCCTCCCAGCTCCCAGCCTCCCATGTTTATACCTGTCTTCAGGACCACCAGGTGTGCGGCATCATCCCGGACATAGGAGACAGCAGCAATGTCATGGATGGGCACCCTGAGGATGATGTCTTCCCCGTCCCTCCAGGCCAGCTTGACGTTGTAGGCAGACAGGCTGAGCACAGCATCGTGCTCCTGGGTCAAGTGTCCGGGAAGCTGGTGCGCTCTCTGGAAGAAAGCACAGGGCATCCGAAATGCCAGACCCAGCTGTGGGCCAGCAATGGGCTCTTCTCCTGGCAGCACCGAGCTGTCCCATGTCACACACATGACCAGTGCTGACTGAAAAAGGTCAGCATTGTTCCCCATAGCACAGTGGTGCTTACTCCAGGGCCACCAACGCACTCAAGCCACCTGGGGGGTTCTTCCAGAACAGTCTTTAGATTCAGACAAACAGCATGTAGTTCGAAGTATCTTGAAAGTATAAATTTTGGCAATACCCCCAAACCACGTGGAGCAAATCTGGAGAATGAAGTTAATGTTCAGACTGAGGAACCATCTTTATGGCCAAGAGCCAAGGGCACCCGCAATGTGATGGAACTGGGTCATCCCTTGGGGCCATGAGGAAGCGGACCAAGGGCTGCTGCAGGCCAAGGAGCAGGGTACGGGGTTAAGGGGATCAGGTTACCTTTGCACTGTCTATGAAGTGCAGGATTTCAGTCCTACTGGAGGGGTTCAGGTATCCTGGTATGGACGTTAGTTGACCTAAATACTGAAAAAAAGTGAAGGAGAGAAGCACCATGAGAGAAGGAAAGAGCCAACACCACCACTGCTGCCCAGAGAGCACAGACCCGGGTCTCGCTCACATCTCTGCCAGCTCAAGCGGAGCCTGACTCCGGGGAGTGCATCCTGAATTCCTTCAAAAAACTCTACTGGCTGAGGACACCCCACTTTCCTACTGCACTCAAGGTCATCACCAAAAGTCCTGCAAAGGGTATCTCCCAACTAGCTGTAGTAGAATCTGGGTTCTAAAACAGTCATGGCTGGTGCCTCCTGGTCACTGCCGGGGGTGCTGAAAGCTATAGCACCATGCACAACCCAACCCAAGGTCAACTCAGCTGAGACATAAGCACAAGTAGACAAACGAAGTATTATGTTTTGAATGTGTCCCCAAACTCACATGTTGGAAATTTAATCCCCAAAGCAACAGTGTTGAATTGGGACTTGAAGAGGTGATTAGGTCATGAGGGCTCTGCCCTCGTGAATGGATTAGTGTCATTAACTCAGGAGTGGGTTAGTTATCCCGGTAGTGGGCTCCTTATAAAAGGATGAGTTCAGCCCCCTCTAGAGACTAGGACATGAAGTAACAGGTTTCCTTTGTAAAACGTGGCCATGAGGCACGTGGCTCAGCACACCACCTCCACGACGAAGGGCCTCGGAGTGAGGAAGGCTGTGAGGAGTAGCATCATGTCTGCTGGGTTTGTGTCTGCATCTCACCAACTAATGCAATGTGGTTGAGGTGGTTTTTTTGTTTTTTTTTAAAATGGGTTACTGATTTCTTCCCAAGAACAGACTTCCTGTACTCAACATTTCTCACTTGTTCATTAACTCTCATATTTCTCTATTACAAAGGGATAAAGTAGGACATTTCCAGTCTGGCACGTAGGAGTCATCACTCCCATCCTCACAAGAAGAAAGCTGACAAACTGAAAATCAGTGACTGCTCTTAGATCCATCAGATAAGTGAGGTCACAGGGCAGCCCACGGCCCTCAAGTCTGGAGAGACAGATAGGTGGATGCTGAGAATCACAGCTCACCAGGGGCAGAGACCCTGGAACTGAAATTGGTAGTGGCAGAAGGGAGAACTGCCATGCTGGAGCCTGAACCAGACAAGCTTGAGATAGAAACTCCCGGGGGCTCATCATGGGGGCCCATCATGGGGACCCATGCTGGCTGAGTTTTACCTCCAGGAATCCTTCCAAGTTCTGAGGGTGAAGACAGGAGAAACATTCCCTCGTGCTTCTGCCATAGCTTTCATCTCCCCTAGCAGTGACCAGGAAACACCACTTAAAAATATGACCAGAGCATTCTGTTCTCCTTAACAAAGGCCTACCTCAAAGAAAACTATTCTCCAAGCACCTAAACCACCTAGGGAAAGGGAAATACCCAACTCCTGCCCTCTCTAGCCTTTCGGTCTCTCCTAAGGGGGAGAAAACAAAACGAAACTGAGCAGCACTTGTGAAGGTCAAAGCCCAGGAGCACAGGCCACTGAAGCACTGAGACCCAACCACAGGACCATGGAACACTTGCCCTCCCCCTCCCCCCACATCAGTAGGGCTCCTATATCCACAACAACAGGGGATTGCAACAGAAAGAACTGCAGGAAACCCCCAAACAACAGAGGAAACAAAAACAAGGGCACCAGAGGAAACTTCAGCCCCTGACACCTACAGCTACAGCAAACAGTAAACACACTCCAAAGTCCTAGCCAGAAATACAACCTCACACTATGGCCTTTTTACCTCACATCTAACTTTCCTTTTACCTGATACATCAAGTCCAGCTTTTAACAACAAATTACAAGGCACAATAAAAAGCAAAAAAAGAAACAGTTTGAAGAGATACAGTAAGCACCATAATCAGACTCAGATATAGCAGAAAGTCTTGTCTTGTTTTGTTTTATTTTGCAACTGGCCGGTACAGGGATCTGAACCTGTGACCTTAAAATTATAAGGCTGTACTCTAACCAACTGAGCTAACTGGCAGCCGGCAGAGATTTTGAAATTATGAGACTGGAAATTTAAAACAAGTATGATTAATATGCTAAGGACTCAATAGAAGAAGTGGACATCAAGCAAAAACAGATGGGAAATGTAAACAGAGAGATGGAAATTCTAAGAAAGGATCAATAGGAAATGCTAGAAGTAAAAAGCACTAACAAAAATGAAGAATGCCTTCAATGGGCTCATTGTTAGACTGGACAGGGCTGGGGAAGGAATCTCCAAGCTTGGGAATATGACAACAGAAACTTGCAAAACTGAAATGCAAAGAGGAAAAAATGAAAGAAACTGAATTATCTAAGGCCTGTGGGACAATTACAATAGGTGGAACATGTGTGTAATTGAGATACCAGGAGAAGAAAGAGAGAAAGGAACAGAAAAAATATTTGAAGTAATGATGGCTGAGAATTTCCTCAAATTAATGTCAGCCACCAACACACAGATCCAGGAAGGTCAAAGAACACCAAACAAGATAAAAAGCAAAAAAATCTATACCTAGACATATCATATTCAAACTGCAGAAAACCAAAGACAAAGACAAAATAATAAAAGCCATGGGAGGGGACAACACCCAACGTATAAGAGGCATAAGTAAGAATGACATCGGACTTCTCTTCAGAAACCATGCAGGCAAGAAGAGCAAGAAGTGAAATAGTGAAAGAGTTGAAAGAAAAAAATGCCAACTTATGATTCTAATATCCAGTAAAATTATCCTTCAAAAGTGAAGGAGAAATGAAGATTTTCTCAGATGAACAAAAATTGAGAGATTTCATAGGTACCTGGCAAGAAATGTTAAAAAGAACCTCTTCAAAGAGAATGAAAGTGATTTGGTTAGAAACTCTGATCTATATAAACATTATAAGGGATGTGAGGGAAGAATTGAGAATGTTCAGTTATGAGGTACTTGCACTACCCACGAAGCAGTACAGCATTATGTGAAAGTAGATATAAATTAGTTGTAAATGTATATTGCAAACCCTAGGGCACCTAAATAAATTTTTTACAAGAAGTATAATTGACAATGATAAGAGAGGAAAAAAATGCAATCATATTAAAGGCTCAAATAAATCCAGAGAAAGCAGGGTTGGCTGGTTATTTCAGTTGGTTAGAGCACAATGCTGAAAACACTGCGGTTGGAAGTTTGGATCGCTATACCAACCATCAAAAAATAAAAATTTAAAAAGACAAAAAAAAAAAAAAGAGAGAGAGAGAGAAAGTGGACAAAGGGGAAGACAAAATGCAAAAAGAAACAAAGAACTAGGACAATGAATAGAAGATAATTATAAATATGGTAAATATGAATCCAGCTATATCAATAATTACTTTAAACATGAGTGGTCTAAACACATACACCAATTTAAAAAGACTGTCAGACTGGAATAAAAAAAAATCAATACCCAACTATATGTTGCCTACAGAAAAACTAGTTTTAAAGATACATACAGATTGGGCCGGCCCTGTGGCGCACTGGATAGTGCGCCGCTTGGGAGCGCAGTGGCGCTCCCACCGAGGGTTCGGATCCCATGTGGAGACCGGTTCCCGCTCACTGGCTGAGCGCGGTGCGGGCGCAACACCGAGGGTTGCGATCCCATTGCCGGTCCCTGGTATGGGCGTGACACCGAGGGTTGCAATCCCGTTACCGGTCAGTAAAAAAGACAAAAAAGAAGGAAAAAAAAAAAAAGAAAGTGTTTTGGTCACTTACAGAATTTCTACGAGACATGGAGAAAGAGGTTTGGAAAATTTTCCAGCATTTTCCCATCTGGATCATTGATGAGATGCTTGGATTAAATAAATAAAGATACATACAGATTAAAAGTAAGGGGACAGAGGAAAATACATCACATTAACACTAATCATAAGAAAGATGGAGTAGCTATATTAATTTCAGATAAAACAGACTTCAGAGCAAGAAAATTAGGAATAAAGAATTACTAATGATAAAGTAGTCAATTCTCCAAGAAGACATAACAATACTAAATATGAACACACCTAACAACAGAGCATCAAAATATGTGAGGCAAAAACTGATGGAACTGCAAAGAGAGACAGACAAATCTACCATTATAGTTGGAAGCTCCAACGCTCCTGTACGACAAATGGACAGATCCAGCAGGCAGAAAATCAAGGACATAGTTGAACTCAACAGCACCATCAATCAACTGGATCTAATGGGCATCTATTGACAACTTCATCCAATTGCAGCAGAATATACATTCTTCTCAAGCTCACATGAAACATTCACCAAGAGAGACCACATTTCAGGCCTGAACACTCCTGAACAAAGTTAAGAGAAAAGAAATCATACAATGTCTGCTCCTCAGACCACATTGGAATTCCTTGAAAGATATAATGTACCAAAACTCACATCAAGAGAAAGATGAACTAAATAGACTAGGGAACTATTAAATAAATTCAATCAGTAATTAATAACCTTCCATAACAGAAGACACCAGGCCCAGATGGGCTCACTAACGAATTCCACCAAACATTGCAGTGAGAAATTTTGCCAATTATCTGCAGTCTCTTCCAGAAAATAGAAACAGAGAAAACACTTCCTAACCAATTCTTTGAGGCCCGCATTACCATAGCGTCAAAACTAGTCAAGGACATTACAAGAAAGGAAAACTATAGACCAATGTCTTTCATGAACATAGATGCAAAAGTTCTAAACAAAATATTAGTAAATAAAATCCACAACGTATAAAAAAAATTACATAATATAACCAAGTAAGATTTATCCCAAGTGTGCAAGGCTGATTCATTATTCAAAAATCAATTAATGTACTCGACCATATCAACAGGCTAAAGAAGAAAAAAATCACAGGGTCATATCAACAGATCCAGAAAAAGCATCTGGCAAAATCTAACACCCATTCACGACAAAAACACTCTGCAAACTAGGAATACAGAGACTTACTGAACTCAATAAAGAACATCTGCAAAAAACCTGCAGCAAACACTTCTAGTAAGAAACTAGATCCTTCTTCCCTAA